GGCGAGAGACGAGTGGCCTTTTTCTTTCGGCCGATATCGGGACCCAAGCTATGTACGCAGCAGTATCAAGGCAAAAACGGAAAGCGCGGCTAGGAAGCAGATTGGTTGTTGTTGATCTGAGGCGCGTGAGTGATAGCGTCATCCACTTTTGGCTTTGCACCCATTCTCTGATGTCGGTCTCGGAATCTTGTATTTACATTGTAAAAGATTGTGTTGCTTTCTGTCAGGTCCCTTCCATTCATGCGCTTATTTGCATCAAGACTTGATGGATGTTGTCGAGAAATAGAGAGCTACGGAACTTGAGCAGAAAGCTCGATTCTGGGGACTCAATGAATATGTACAGAAGACACCTTCTCAGCCCCAGCATGGATAGGTAAATGCAACAATATGCAATCATCAACATGTCTGACTTATACAGAAGTAGTGTTACTCACGATTCCCCCGGTACCGAGAGTCGTACATCGAATTTTGCGGGCTTACTTTCATGGCATTCATGCTCAACTGATGGAGAGATCAACCGTCGGAAGCTCAGCCATGTGATTCTTCAAACTCCCATACGGCCTCAGTATCACATCCGTCACATTGCCAGTACAACTTCGATGCCTCACACCCTCGGGTAGAGCAGGCAACGGCGCTGGCAGTCCATTATACAACGGCCAATCAACTTCACAGCCTTTGCCGGAGATGTATGTAGGTGGGGCTTGATAGTCAAAAATGGGATTCTTCAAGGCTGGTTCTGTTGCATTGTTGAACGTGGTGTGGAAAGTCAGGGATGAGATGTCGATAGCCATGTTCCAGGATTCGGTATTTGTAAATGCAAAGTCGTGAACCTCATTGGGAATCAATGGTGCGCTAGTGTCATAGGGGCTAGCATTAGAGTAGGAAGCGTTGTAGAGGGAGTTGGGCAGCGTAGTCACAATTTGTCCAACGTCGAGGGCATAAAGTATCGCGCCGTAGTAGACAGCAATGGTTGAGTTTGCTCGTTGTTCCACACGGACATTGGCGCCTATGGTGTAGGTCACTGCACTGGTTCCAAACCCTAAAAGGACTGGCATCATTCCCGTACGAGGATCAGGAGTGAGTGGAATTGCCTCGTTGTCGTTTACAGTGATTGAAGAATTGTCCAGTACAGACCATGATGGGACGCGGAGGTAGAAAGTGAACGGCGAAGTGGTGGTGACGTTGTAGTAGAGTACTGGACTGAACGGATAATTGGTTGTGCATGTGATCACGATATCAGTGACCACCTTCGTAGTAAAAGAGACTTGAGCTGGGCCCAGTAGAGCATGGCCTAAGTCGTTGTCGCCAATTTGGACAAAGGAAGCGGAGAGGAATTTGGGAAGTCCTTGTGGCATATTGACTGTGCAGCATGGATAATTGGGTTCTACATTCGGTCAGCACCGGGAAGACAGAAATTCCTATGCAGATTCTCACCCAGTCCATAGATGATTCCAAGGTCTCCAACATTCCAGAATGGGTTCTCGCCAGATAATGGCTTTGCGTATGGCTCACTAGCCACAGCAAGATATTGGCGAGCCCAATGGTCTGCTGTTATGCTGACCGGCAGCGCGTTGAAAGCCGCACGTTCGCATCGATCCGCGAAGTAGTTGTCGCCCAAAGTGTGATACAAGTAAGACATCGAATACATCGTCTCGACCGCGGTGCATAATTCAGAGCCTCTGTTCGAGCCCAAACCCGTTTCTCTTTCATCGCCGATAATACTGCCTGCTACATCCCCATGGTAGCTGAACGTCCAATTGACGCCATTGCGATTATTCTGTAAAATCGAGTCGTTTCCCGTATATCGGTAGATGGTTGCACCGGCTTTGAGACCCTGAGCAGCGTTGACTCCGTGAACGAAAGGGAATCGCGGTGAGCCTCCATCGATATCATCTTGGATAGTGTCCAGATCGACGAATATGAAATTGTCCTCAGTCCAGTAGCTAGACCAGTCGAAGCCACGGGACTCAAGCAAAGACATTGTGTCAAGCATCATTGTCTGGTTTCCAAGCGGATAATTCTCGTACAGCCATTGCAGGGAGATGAGCATGTCTGGGAATCTCACTCGACCCCAAATCTGCGTGAGCCCAGTGTTTTCGACCAGCATAGAGTGCATCAGATCAATGAAAGTATACATGGCAGGAACGACTCTGTTGGCTTGAGTAATATCAGCTTCGACAAGCTGAATGAGTCCAAGAAAAAGAGGATATCGTGCCCAGAGATCTCTGTCAGCGGGAGCTTCTGGACCAAGCCAGCCATCTTCCCATTGATGTGCGACTATGTACTCGGTGGCATCCTCTACTTGAGCAATCAGACGGGAGTCGTTCAGACCTATCGAAGATTTGAGATTAGCGTTTCCTTTGAAGACAATTTTTGAACCCTAAGATAGGTCTGAACAAGATGGCACTCCTAGATTCTGTCTCACAATTCCGACTTCCGCTCCATTTTGGAAAGCACGGAGCCCAGAGAAGGCTTACCATACGCAAGAGGGACCAGTCCATTGAACCAGTAAGGCAAGCCTTCGTTGAGGACAGAGTACTCCGAATTACCTCCAATCCAGGGGGACTGATGCACCAGATGGTAGAAGTCATACTGGTGCCCAGCTAGGCCATCTGCCATAAGTTTCAATTGGTCGTTTGTCCATCCCAATGGTTGGATGGAGCCAAGTGGAAGCGGTTGGAAGATGTACGGAGCCAGTGCTAGATAGTCAGCCATGCTTGGAAAGATAGAAGCTCTCAGTACGGACAGGTCACGTTAGGAGTTGAGCTCGAACTGTCGAAAGGCCAAAAGGCTAAGCGCCGAAGGATCTCTTCGAGGCATTGAAATAGGGGGACTCTGCCACCTAGCTGCATCCATAGGACGAATAAAGATATAGAGAGGAGGAGAGCCAAAGGTAACCACCTCGCCGCAGGCAGCCATGTGACCTTGTTTATCCGTGTTTCAACCTGGCGGCTGTAATCTTTCAACTCGTGTTCGGTACGCAGCGTTGCCACTTTTCTCTTCTCTCGAATTTGATGGTAAAGCATCTTCAACACCTTGCAAAAGATAGCTATCCTTTGACTTTGATCGCATGTCCAGATGCTGTCGTTCCAAGAGCGGAGTCTAAACAGGGCGGAGCGGCAGGGCGGGGCTTAGTGTAGGTAGTCTAGGGACGCGGCGAGGCGGGAATTGAGAAGGCGCAGCAGCTGTCATCTTTAAAGTATCCTCTCAGCCACCACCCTTTGGCCTGGGAGTCCACGTCGTATGATCAACCTTTGCTGGCATGCTCAAATCATTCGCAGACTCTAGTCATGCTGCTACTACATAGTCGTCCACTTGCCACGTTCATGTGCACAGCGTGTCATGCACTTAACCACTCAACGAATGTCATGCTCAATCGCAGAGATACAATACTCATGGTAGGAGTGAGTGGCAATTCCTTGGGACCTGAAAGTTCTCAGCGCTTGGAATGCAAGTTGTGAGAAAAGACGGCAGATGTCCTATGCTGCCAGACATATTGGCTTCGATTTCTAAAATAAAGGCTTAGTACCTATTGAGTCAGTTCCCAAATCTGACCACGAAAGCTCTGCTAAAGTCGAAGAATGTTGAGACCGTTGACGTAGTATCCCCTAGGAGGCATACGTGTCCATCTAATATTTCTCATTGCCAATCCGGTGTCAGTAATGTCTGCAGTGGCTACGAATCGGTCTTGAACAGTTCATATTTCGAATCTACAGGCTTGATCTCATCTACACCTGCACGACTCACTTAATTTGGTTGCCACATTTCGCCTTCGTTTGTGACTACCCGTTTCTAGAGCCACAAAGCCTATCATCAGCCCTGCTCTGTTTTCATTTCATTCAGACCTCAGTCACTCGGAAAGCATTGGTGAGGCGCCAAAGACCTGGGCTACTTCACGACTAATTCACTAAACAGACGCCATCGCGGGCATCGTGGTGGAGACGTGGAAGCATGGACTCGTAGAGCTGTTCCTGGCCGAAGTAATACATGCCCGTCATGTCATCATGCTCGTCTTTGAAAGCCGGCATCTCGAAGTGGAATGTTTCGCATGCGTTCGTATACGCCGAGTGCATCTAGAACACGGAGAGCATTGGGTAAGAGCATAATAGCGCTGCCTTGGACGAAGCTGTCGGAGCAGACTTCCCACATGATTGATGGAATGCCGAATTAGTGTAGTGCAAGGGCGAAAATGAGGCCTGAGAGGCGGCGTCGATAATGGCGACGTGGGTAGATATTGACGATGTGCATTTTGCAAAGATACGCGAGGTTGCTATTGTGACCGAAAATATGAGAAAGAGGAGTGAATGCAAAGGGTCGGTGCATGATCAAGCCAAGAAATTCCTAACTGTGATGGATAGTCTAATATACCTCCTGGTATCAGGCCTTCCATGCTGATCCTTGTATTTGATAAGTACCATGCAGAAACGCAATTTTGCTCGCTTTCGCTCCGACACACAACATCAACCCATGCGCCGCTTGAGTAAGCAAAGCGGGTGATTTATACAAACCGCTCTCAAATGAGGCCTAGAAAAATCTCGGTGTTGACGGACATCTCGTTGTGGAAAGCAATAGTCCGCGATCTTTGGCCGAGAGCTCGAGTATAACGGCAAACCCATCCCAAAGCGTCCAAATCAATGGGTATGGCGGGTTTCTCAGTAATACACTATTCAATCGCCGAGCTTTCATGCGGAAAACAATCCGGTTATTCGGTGCGTTGCAAGGTCTTGTTGCCCAAGTTGGTGCTCGATCGAATGGCCAATTTGCAATTATCCAGGCATCCAGCGCTGTGGGAAATCCTTGAAATCCTCGAGCTTTGCTCAAAGTCGTGCAATTACCTTTTCAACTGCCTCCCTGATGAATACTTTCAGCTCGTGCTGCAATTCCTCGGATCGTTTGCGTCCTCAGAAACCTGGAAAACACTACCCTAACCTCAGTACTGGCTTCCTGTCTCGGACACTAATCTCGATACAGACCATTAGTAAACCGTGTCATCATACGCGATGCGCCTTCTAATAATCCGAGCCACTGATCGCGTCGGCAGCCTGGTTGTTGAGGAATCCTTGAGCCGAGGTCAGTAGTTCAAATTTCCACTCGACAGATCTTTGGACTCACGATTACAGGCCACACCGTTACCGTCCTCGTCCGCTATCTATCTAGATACTCTCCAGCCAGGGAACGGCATGACTATAGTCAAGGCATCCCCGTCAAGCCACCGTAAGCACTGACATACAGACGCCGACATCCCAAGGAACTCCATTGGACGAAGCTGCCATCGGCTCCGTATTCAAAGAACCACTCATAGTAGTCATCACAAGCCTCGGCCACAATCGCACCGGCTCCAGTCCGCACTGCATGGCCGATTCCCACACCAATATCCTAGCCGCGATGCGCGCCCGCGGCATCCGCCGAGTCGTGCTTCCAGCACTTGGCGTCGGCAGATCGAAGCCGAATTTGTTCGTGCTAGAGGGTGGACGATCAAGTACGCAAGCATGGCGGGGTGTTTTGCCGATCATGATCTTGTGAATGAGTTGGTTGGGAAAGAGCTCGCAGTGAATGCAGTCCGGGCGCGGCCAACGAGGTTGTAAGGTGGAGAGAGGAAGCCTGTCATTTCCCCTGGAAAATATGGGAAGGGCATTGGGTGGGATTGCCGCGATGTCAAGGAAAAGCGTTGCTGGATTCGTGTCTGCCGCTGCCGAGAAGCATGATTGGGATGGGTCGAGTCCTGTTATTCCGAATTGAGTATGGCAGTAGGTGCTTTGCTGGATGCTTTCATCAACGATACAAAATGTGTATTGGCGTTTTTCGTTTTATAGGCTGATATTGAAAAGAAAGGCCCTCGAGAGAAGGACCAGCCGGAAATATCCAAAGAAGGCATACCACATTGTCAAATATTCGTGTTTTGTACTACTAACTACCCAAAAGCAAGCCATTTGACTCACGCTTTCAGATCAATACAGATATGCCGATCAGAATGTGAGCAAAACGCAAGAGGCACAGCCTCACCTCTCCTTCTTCTTTTCGACCACAGCTTCAGTATTGGGCTCCGGCGCTTTGCCATTCGCTATGCTGCCGTTCGCTTTCTTCTCCTTCGCCCTACGCCCAGCTGTACCGACCTGCCCACCCCCACTCTCCTTCTCTTCTTCCGACTCTTCGTCATCACTTCGGACATCCTGTATGACCTTGGCAAAAGCGATGTTGTAAGCAATTCTTGCGATGAAAAACAGCCAGAACATATTTATACTTTGCAAGCTAGCGAGCAGCGCGAACGTAATGTACTGACTAATCCAGCATTTGTACTGCTGGGTTTCCCAGTCGAGCTCGAAAGGGCCAACGGTGCGGAATTCCGTGAGTGTGGCATACAGAATCACGAGGTTGATGTAGTGTCGTAGGTAAGTCCAGATGGCGATGAAGAGGGAGAAGTACGGGACAATTAGTGGTGATTTGATGTAGTTGAGAGTTTTCGAGGTCTTTGCAAAAGACAGATTAGTTTCTCGAAAATCATGGACGGGCTTGACTTACCGCGAGGAAGAAATCGCTAATGTCGTGCGTGATATAAACTGCCACCCCCATGTATGTGAAATGGAACCTGTAACTCAACCCGATCAACGCCAGGGTCACAATGTGATGTCCAACTAGCTCTCTGAAATCTTTTCTTGGTTTTTCCAATTGTAGACATAACACAATAGCTTGCTGCGCCCAATAGCTGGCCTGCAGCAAATAGTACGCCTTAAAAAAGCCGTCATGACTTCTGTGCGGATATCCTTCGAACATACCCGCCGTATTGAAATACCACACGGGAGTCCGGCTCATTACATAGAGCCCCAGTGGTCCAAATACCGCAAAGTACATAGCAGTGTAGACTTGTTCCATGAAGCGGTTCTGCTTTGAGCGCGAACGGATTCCGTAATACAAGGCCATCGGACGAACGAGTCGCTGCATGAGGAATTCGCGGGTAAAAGAGAGAACAACAATGTAGAAGGCCACAAAAGCGAAGTCTTTGGGTCCTTTGCCGTAGTAGGTTATATCGGCGTCATGTCGGGCGTGGTAGGTCATGAGATGGTGGTCGGATGGGAGAGGGTAAGACAGAAAGATGGCGTTATGAAGAGGATTTGAAGGGTTCGGATTGATGGCATAGGCGGAGAGGATGAGGGCCATGACGATGAGAGGGTTGATCCATGTATGCCGAAAAGAGAACGCTCTCCATCGCCGCAGGACAGACTTCGCTTTCCGTCGTTTGGAAAAAGGGCGGGCAGATTTGGTTTGAGAGTTACGCTGAGCGAAAAGGTCAGTCCAGTTATGGGAGTATCAGATATGGCTGGGTGCATACTGGTGTCAAAGGGGGAGAGTTGAAGGTCGGCGTAGGCTCGAGGGTGGAGAAAGCTGAAGCCCCCGTATCGCCCCGAGGATCAGCTCCAAGGCCGCTTGATTTCCGCCGTGGACGCGGCATCTTTCTCTGAGAGATGGGAGATGTAGGAAAGATTTATCGTAATGAAAGTAAGGCTTGTTGCGAATTGAAGAACGCCGGAGCCATTAGGTATTCATGGAATGTCGCGTGCTGAAAACCGTTTTTTTGTGGGAAATTGCATGCATGGAGGCAATCTTATGTCCGACTCCGATTCAGCTGACTTGGCTGACTTGGCTGACGTTGATTGCCGCAGTGGTGAATCCTACATCCTTTTGCGATAATCCGATCCTCTAACATGCCGCAGCAAGGTAGGGTTTATCATGGGCGTAGCCGATATCTCTCCAATTTTCTCACTCAACTCTGAACGAAGGTTGTGAACTTGTGGAAAGTATGGGCAAGAGCAGGAATAACTTCCGGGCAGTCCCCAGCGATACGAGTACGCTAGCCGGAATACCTGTATAAGGCTGCCGATGCCGGCTTTATCTCGGTATCTCGAGATCTTAATCAACCCTCTCTCGCCATATACCACCAAAGGATCGAATAGATATGCAGGTAGTCTAGCGACTGACCTACGTATCTCCATCTGTATCTTCAACATCCTGTCTTGACCTCTCCCTCAGCAACGCTGTTGCCATCCCCCACTGCGAATCACGCGTGAGGATGGAGCTGTTGCTCGAAACCAGAAGACGCTGCCCACCGTGACCTTTATGACTTCTATAGTCTCCTCGGATTAATTCATTATGGACACAGGTCCACATACCCTTTTAGGCCGCCAAATATGGGCCAACCCTACCTTAACCAGCAGCAGTTTGCCTCATACCTGCCAACCCTACATACTCCCTTCTGGCGGCGAGATAAACATTGGTCGGGGAACAATTATCACGCTGACGCAAGATGCGGGGTTTCAACCAGCGTGCTCCGGTTCAGCAGTTCCTGCACCGATTGACCCACTTCAGCCAGGAGTTGACCTTTCCGTGCTGAATCGTCAGGACCCGTTCTACTCCTCGACAAATCCACAGATATACGCAATCGCAGCGGCGACGATCGTCAGTTACATGTTGCTCATCATCCTTTTCATCACACCAAGAACCTTTTTTGTCGGCGGTGCAGGAGGTGGAGGTGGCTTTCTTGGCTCAAGAGGCATGATCAGTGGGGCTTATGGGAGCAACTCCGTGATCGGGATCGGAAGCAGACCTTGGCTTCAGAAAATAGCAGCTCTGACCGTTGCAACGTCCTTGACGATTGTCACGGCCGACACGTTTAAGTTTGCCCACCAACAATACGACGCAGGGTACCAAGACGCAACAGAATTGACCATCAGAGTCATCAATGGAGTGGAAGTCCGCGTTGCGAGGACAATTTCGGAGACCTGCCTCTGGCTTGCGCAGGCGCAGACACTCATACGACTTTTTCCACGGCATAAAGAGAAACTTCTCATCAAGTGGTGTGCTTTCGCCCTCATCATTATGGAGCTCATCTTTACTATCCTTAACCAATTCGTTGTCGACAGTACAAGAGACCGTTCCCAGTCATTCACCGATGCTGTCCCAGCTATGAACTATCTCTTCGCGCTTGCCCTAAACCTCTGCTATGGAACATTTGTTATCTACTTCGCCTTACAGAAACGGCGTTTCGCTTTCTTTCACCCTCAGATGCGCAATATGCCCCTGGTCGCTTTACTGTCTCTCGCAGCCGTGCTAATCCCGGTGGTGTTCTTCGTGCTCGATCTTTCAAAACCTAATCTTTCGGGATGGGGGAGCTATGTTCGATGGGTCGGCGCCGCAGCAGCGAGTGTGGTGGTATGGGAGTGGGTCGAGAGAATAGAAGCTTTGGAGAGGGAGGAGAAAAAAGATGGCATTCTTGGTCGCGAGATCTTCGATGGTGACGAGATGCTTGACGCTACTCCATCGTCGGATCCCACTTGGCCAAGCCAGAGAAAGAGGGCTAGTAGAAGCGGTAAACGCAGCGCAAGTTCTGGCGCCAGTAGGAGCACTGGCTGGCATGAAATGACCACCAGAGTAAGACATATAGGTCGATCACAGCAGCGGCAAGATGGAGACTCCCGTCGCAACTCTAACGCCAGCAACGTTCAAGAGAGACATGATGTAGTTGCGAAACAGCAATGTCACCCTGCGAGACCGCTTCCAGTGGCGTCGCCAGTAAGCATAGCGGATACTACCAGCGCTAGAAGCACCGTCTACGTTGTACGGTACCACCCCACCAGCGAGCCCACTCCGCCGATACAAGAGGGCATCGAGACAAGTTCGGACGACAGAGATGACCAACGGCAGCTCAGTGGGCAACCTATTGGGTTCCCGGAATTGGACGCTGAACATGTAGAAGTCACTTCGAGTCAAAGATTTCTCATTAATGGACTCCAGTGGCTGCCAAATCCTTTCAGACGCCAGCGTACCACACCGCCTCCAGAGGTTGTCCGGGCTCTTGCAGTACAATCCACACAGCCTGGGCCCTCCATCACGAATTACGCGCATCAGAGCAGCTTGCTTGAGCGATTGCATTTAAAGAAGGGCCCAAAAGCACCAAAAATCCAAAGGCCTGCAATCGTCATCCCTGCCCCCACTCGTGGACCGGGCTCAATAGATCATGAATCAGACAGCCTCGAGAGTGGTGACGAGAGTGAGGGGTCCATGGCACGAAGGAGATCCACTTCGACGTGCACATCAACAAACAGAGATACTGATCTACCCCCGGATGCCGTTTTGAATGCAATCAACATACCTCAACATACCCAAACATAGCAATGCAATCTCTCCTCTTAGCGAGTCCCGTCCTCCGCTTTTCGCTGAGGCTGGCGGGCCCTTGCCATTGGGAGTACCGCACGACCCGATGACGAACCATCGACTCCAAATTACATGAATTCGCTCAGACCTGGGACGCCTCGGCAAATCAATGCTGGGATTGAGCACCCAGATGTTTCTACGATCGTTCATGATAAATGATCATGACCCTGTTGCACATGAGCATATGACTGACGACTGGGATGCCCTATCCAATTACACCTCGTTACGAGCAATATTAGATGGAATAATTGTCTTCACACAAGCGTGGCGCTGGAGTTTGTAACAGTGTTGGGATACCCACTCGAATTTATAGAAGG